ACACATAGGCGCATACATGGGTGGGATAGACGCACAGACAGAACCTGAGACCTGAGTAGCTGCTTCCAGATAGGGACATGCACCCGAAAAAGCTGGCTTAGCCTGCAGACCAGAGTAGACTTAGACACCGGGGAGCAGTTTGCTGAAGCACTGTGCAATACGTTTCATACCAAGTATGCAGCTATGCGTCAAAATTTTGCGCCCTGCACTGACACTTGAGAGGCTTCAGTGCACAAGACCTCCACAGTCCATGACGTCTATCCCATAAACATATGCTGCACCAGGGAGCTGATGAGCGTGCAGCAGGCATTCGTCAGGGCCGCGATTCGGGCGCCGCGCCTCCCCTCCAACACCTCGAAAGCTCGACAGGGCGCTGGGGCCGAGCGCTGTACGTGGAAACCGGAAGACAGAATGGCAAACCGCTGGGGGGGGACATGGCAATACATCGTAGTGCATGTCTTTGACACCATCGCGGAGCAAACCCGTCTCATCACGATGCAACTGGGTAGAGACTTCTTAACACCCTCCCGCACTCTCTTTTCACCCTTCCAATGTTTGTCCCAACACGACTTTTTGGAGGGACGGCCTGCCCCATCCTTACACTCAACAAAACACAAAAATACATACATATGTACGTAATACATACATAGGCACATACATGCATAGACATATGCGGGGATTTTATATATTGTACATATATTGATATACACCTACACGGATACACTTGTGTACGTACGTGTATACATATATATGTGTGTGCGTATGTATGTTCGTATGAATGTCACTTGTCGTTAATTGAACTGTTGTCGACGTGACTACAATGTATGATTTCATGAAAAAGAACTTGTTCAGGCACGCTCGGCAACCCGTTATGTGATTGTTTGCACAGCACCAGGTACCTATCAGTACAATGGAAGATCATGTGATTGAAACCCAGAACACAATACAAAGAATAAGCCTCCAATTTCTACACGTGCTCGAAACGTGACCACTAACCAGCATACCATGCACAGTGCATGATTGAGGCGAAACCATGTGTAGCTGCCAGCATGCGACATACATGGAACGTACACGCGACCACGCCAACAGATCCATAAATGGATGTGTGCATCCATGTACACCTGCATGCCGCAACAGATGTGCACAATGAAATGGCCGATGTCCTCATATGCTACATGCAAAAAGTTTGAAGCAGACAGAAGGTATCATATGCACATAGTGATGCCATGACAGATGCGGATGAAGTGGCAGGTGATTGCAGAACGAGCCAAACAAACATACAGCAGGTAAAGATAGATGCGCAGGCTACCTTGTGGAGACAACATCGAGTCATGAGCAGCACCGCCAGACAACGCTGTATACCAATATATGATTGTGAAGTGCTTCCATCACGCTTTTGTCAAAGCGGCTTCCGGGCCGTCGGCCAGAACGGCCGAGGCACCTGCTCACAGCTCCAAGGCGGTCAATCGGTTTATGGGTTTGAAGTTTTTGTTTTGAATGCCGATTTTCGTCCTGCCCTACAAAGTTAGTCAGAATCCACACTTGCATGATAAGGCTTAATTAAGGGGAATTGAGGTTTTGGTGCGGTGCCTGAGAGCGTCAGGAACTCCGTGCCATACACTGGGTGCTTGTAGGCGGCCGGCTTGGCAGCAGCCTGCGTCATAACCAGGGCGTGCGGACATGCCACAGGTGTTGGGAGGGCTTGCTCAGAAATCTTTGTAGCCCTCGCTTGTTTTGGCCGGCTGCCCCGGCAAAGACATGAATCCTGAGGGCTTTCAACATACTGCATGGTATCTATGCATCTACTTATGTAGGTAACTGTCTATACTCGCACGTATGTGTATATATATAGATAGATTGATTTATTGATTTGGTTCTGCGTTCTATTTGCCTCGGCGTATGTAAACATCAACATCCACAAACACAGACACACTTGGACACACTCTACCACGCAATAAGCTGCTCACCATCCTATCACCATCCTATTCGAAGCTGGAGCGCTTGGGGAAACAGGACGGCATGACCTCAGGCGCGTGTGCGCACATCTGGTTCGTGCCCATGTCAATCTGCACATCCACCTTGCCATCTGGTGGCTCTAAGCCTGGCCAGAGTCAAAGAGTGCGAGAAGCAAGACCTATACTCTACAATGCACAAATATTCATGATGTTAACATTACAAGTTGATGAATTGATCTCAAAGAATACTACGTGGCTTCACGTTGTCAGCGTTGGCTTCTGTTTCTCAAGGCGAGTTCAAGGTTCATCTTGGTACACCTACTGAAATGCAATACCACAGAGGACTTAGCAGGAATCCAACCTACAAACAGAACGGTTTAAGTTTAGGCTGTGCAAAAAATTCGAGCAAGTAACCCTAAATGAACGAATATTGCATTATCGAGTTCTACCTGAGCTCCGTAACACAAGGGTTCCTCAATAAGCCTCTAATTTATGGGTACTATACCATGCCCTACTATACTGTGATGTTGTTGCCTTTCTATACTATACTAGACTATACTCTACTATACGGTCAATACCATTCATACTATACCGTGCCAAACTGCCAAACCAAACCATACCATGCCATGCCATCCAATTCGATACTACACTATGCGGTCCTCCTCTGCTACTCTATACTATACTCCAGAATATTACACTAGACTATACTATGATGTACTACGACCATGCTATACTAGACCATACCATGCCATACCATACGATATCATACTCTATTTTTGTCTATACTTAGGCTCTACAACATACACAGACGGCCAGTCTTTACTGCATGCATAATGGAAGCTAAATTGTGCAGAATATGCTTGAAGACCCCACCGAAAAACGAAATCATGAATTACAAAGCTATTGCATCACACCCAAAAATGATCATCTACTGCATGGCTGGGCCCTGAACCCGAGAGCCCCAGTTCTTTCAACCCTAAACCCCCTGACCCCAAAACCCTAAACCCCTAAAACACCATAAGTCGCACCTCCGAAGGCCGCGGTTGGGAAGGCCACGCTGCGGCTGCAGCTGCGGCCGTCAGTGCTCCCCGGACCCGGCCTTTCAGTCGGAGTAGGGTTTAGGGTTTTGCAGCTTCATAGGGCTTTAGGGCTTCAGGGTTTAGGGCTTTAGGGTTTTGCAGCTTTAGGGGTTTAGGCTTTAGGGTTTAGGGTTTTAGGGTTATGGGCATGGGGGCCTTCCTCGGCATTCATGCCGGCACTTCGTTGGAGCTTCTCGAACAATTAGGGCTACCAGTCCCTGAAAGTCCCTATTACAGAACTCCTATTTAACAACCCCAAACCCTGGTTTCATCGTAGGAAGGGCAGAAGCGAGGTTTTTGTTTGCGGGCCCTTTTTGCGACAGGGCTTTAACATTTAGGGCTCAGGGTTGTAAGGATTGGGGTTTGGGGTTGAGATTTTGACGCTTAGACCTGGGGCTTAAAGTTTGGAGTTTAGGCCTTGGGGGCTTCAGATTGTTTAGGGTTCAATGCTCGGGGCTTAGGGTTGAAGGCTTAGGGCTCAGGGTTCAAATCAATGCTCTTCTCTGATTTAGGTTGCAGGCTGCAGCCGATGGACTAGAAATGGTGGATATCAGACCTCTTGAGGGTAGCTATACGGGCCGTTGTGAAGCTGAAAGCTCCTTGCCCTTCAGCCGGGTTTAGGGTCGGAAGTTGCAGGCGACGATCGTCCTCTGGGGCTGTAGAGGTGAGGACTCCCGAATTCACAGACAAGGCTCCGGCCTGACAATCCGAGCAAGAAGGTACTGAAACCACTTCCACACGACACACGGTCATCACACCGGCGCTCCAACTGGTAGTACAACAGATTGACATGTAGGTCAGGTGCTGTAGGGTTTGTGAGTTTATCTTTAGGGAAACGTGGCGCAGAGAGCAGGCTGTCAGGGCTGTGATTGCTTGAAAAACCTCTTCCGACCTCATCACACCGAGATGCTCTTTCCTCCATCCTGGGCCCTGATAGGCCACCGTCAGCTTACTGGGCAACTGGCCATGCCTCGGGGCTTTAGGGCTCACAGCACTTGTATCAGTTCCACCCCAAACGTGTTACCCAGAAGCTTCAATTCTTCATCATTTTCATATCATGCCAACGAGGCACTCGAGGAATTCGTGCACGACCCTCTCCTCGATGCTGGCGGAAGCAGCAGTTAAGCATTTCTGAAGAGCTCAGTACCCATATTGAAATTTTGAACATACGGGACGAAGGGGTGATTGGATGCTGCCACACAAACACTTTGTGACTTTGTGGTCGGTCGATGATTGTGATGCCTTCGTGTCTATCTGTGTTGGCGTTTCTTGTCGCGTCGTGTGGCTGTGTGCATCTAGTAATCTACCTTGTGCCGCACGGGAAGGGGGTGACGAAAGTTCTTACAGAGGAACGCCTACGGCCTACGGAGTGATACTCCAAACTTCCTCTCCTCTCAACCTCAATCAAAGCCTTTCGAAATGTACGTTTCCCCACAAAACATAAACATAGGGGATGCCTCGGAACACCCGCGACTTGGGGTATGAACAGGTCAGCACAGCAGAGCATGAGCGGAAAGCTCCCTTTGAGGACCGGCCCCGCCAACTCCGACTCTTCCGAACAGAAGGCACTCCTACAGCCCACGACTCTCCTCTTCTAAATCTGACCAAAGGCAGAAAGCCCTCTCTACTTGCTTGGGAGTCCTCCAAGTCCAGGATCAGAGCCAGGAGAAGCCAGCGAACTCTCGTCAAGTTCGTGACCCCCTGAGTTCAGCAGTGCTTTGCACCAGAGCCCAACTTCCAAAGTCAACATTTAATTACAACGTTTGGCCGTACCCTCATGTCTGCAAGACCCATGTAGAATGCGCTCTGCACACAGGCTTCAAAGGTAACTGGTACGTAGGTCGACGTAGGTAGGAGTTCTCTCATCCTCCGAGAGCGGAACGTGGCCTTCTCCAGCTGCGGATCGAAGACCCAGCCATCCCCGACGGTGACGCTCTTCGTCGAACCTGACGGAGACGAAACGATACCGACGATACCGAGAGCCAGCTCAAAGCTTCGCTGCCAACTTGTACTTGGGACATGTCCCACCTGGACCCTGCATTGGGCAAACACAGGCCTTGCTTCATCGCCAGCTCATCCAAGGATCCATCAGTTAGCCAGGACGTCACCTAATGCTCTCGACAGGACTTGAAACTTGGCCTTACAGACATGAGGTATGACTGCTTCCGGGGTGCGACCAGGCTCTTCTTGGGGTCGGCGGCTCGCACAGGTGTGGCGTCCTGGCATGGGGGCCCGTGGACTGCAGCCTTCCCGTGATGCCCAGCGAAGACTTGCCAGCATTTTCAAATCTAATTGAAGAACATACCGCACACCCAGGTGACTAGAACCGGCAGATGCCTGACCACGACAGTTTGCCACCAGGCGCTCTGCGACCTCTGCTGACACACCTCGGAAGTAGAATAATGTGTGATACACAGTGAAATGCAAAGAATCACAAGTCCTCGCGTACCCCAGGCACCGCCCATGTTGATACTTGTTGAGCGCTGACGCTAACCGCCTACCAAACTCGTAACCATCCAAAAACTTCACTCGGGGTGCAGAACGGATTGTCAGAACAAGCCTTCATGATTCATGTCCTCGGCATGTTCGGCAAAGAACGAAGAAATGCGAACAGCAGTCACTTCCATGCAAAGAGTCTGGCCTACAAGTAAGTCGGTCCATTGAGTCAAGTGGGAGCAGGAGGAGGAACAGTGTACGTCACTGGCCAGAGAAAAGCAAAATCTGACTCAATAAAGTTTTCCTATCCCTGCCGTCTGCAAATCCATCTTGGACAAAAATGAAGCCCCAAGATGGGCATGCGTCTCTTACGCGGGCGCAAATGAAAGCACTGCAACCCCGCGAGAGACAGCAGAAGGCCCTCCCTCGCCTGAGCTCCTGGCCCAAGGCTTCCTGGAGTTCCTTTCGTCCCAAGCGTTGCAGATCCGCAGCGGTTTGAAGATTCAGAGCCTGAAGGAATGACTCTCAGCCCTCAGCTTAATCCGTGTATGGAGCTGGGGCTATGAGAAATCTCTGCTTCATCTGCAGAGTGTGTAGCCTGAGAATACCTGGCCCTACGTTGTGGGAGCCACAAGGGTGACTGACCGGAGGAAGAGTAAAATGCATCCAAAACCTCCTCCTTACGGTTTCCGTGGATGGCCCAACTAATCTGGCGGACCAAAACAGGGCGGGAAGCTGAGACCACGAAGCCGAATCCCCGTCTATCTAGCTGTGCCATGATGATATGGCATACTGCATACTTGTTGACAGCTCGAGAGGAGCAGAGCACAAGAGCTCGGCAAAGCCACTCCTCCACTCCTCAAACCTCCACGGGCCAGGTGCCTGCAGCTGCTCTCCACGGCTCCCGCAGCCTGGCAGCCGCGTGGCAGGTGTGGCAGCCAGCAGCGAAGCGCCTAAGAGCAGAGTGTATCTAGCACCATTTGCGAGAAGATGTACAGGACAGTGTGTCAGGTGGATCGCTGAATGGCATCAGTCTCTCAGCTTGCTGCCGGAGAGGCACAGGAATCGGGGCCTTCTACAATGCAGATGCCGTCCCCGCGGGGCGGCTTTGCTGCGATGGAACCCAGCTTTGCAAGCAGGCGGTTGGGGGCGATGCCGACACTGACACGGACTCCGATGGTCGCTTGAAGCTCTGCGACGAGCTTCTGAGCAAGGCTTTTTGCCTGCATAAAGCGATCTGCACCTGCCAACGCCCCTGAAGCGTCCAGGAAGGCCTCGGCAGAGCAGATTATGGTGTAAGGGGACAAGGAGGCACAAGGAGGCGTCCCTGACTTCCCTGGCCTCATCGATGCTGAGCCGCTCCAGGATAAAGTCACCCGGCTCCTCAGCCAGCAGCCTGTGGAGATGAGCGAACATCTCCCTGCTGATGGTCTGGTAGGGGCCATACCAGACGCGGGGACCTTCGGCCATTGAGCGATGGTTTGGCAAGGCAGTTTGAGCTCTGATGAAAGAAAACTTCGCCGTCACGACAAGGCAAGCGCTGCCGGCCTGGCCAGCGCCTGGAGAAGGCGTGCACCATGCGGCCGCCGATGCTGTCCTCGTCGGGATAAACGGGAGGAGTTCGGGCAAAAGTTGCAAAACCAGGGGACCTCCACCCTTCACCTCGCCTCAGGGAGCTCCTGGGTTTTGCGGGAAGCGGCCTTCTCACGACAAAGGGGGCACAGTTGCAAGTGTGCGCAGGCACAAGCGACTAGGACACATGACATGAAGCCACAGGCTCAGAATTTAGGGAGGCGTGGGCATCCTCAATGTTCTCTCAATCTCAGAAGTCCAAGGGCGAGAAGGAGAAGGCCCAAGGCTCCACGAGGGGCTGCGCCTCGCTTGGCCGCATGTGCTTCTTCACTCCGGCGGCCTGAGCTCTGCGAAGCGGCCGCCAAGAAGAAGAAGAAGCACAATAAGTGCAAGAAGTACAAGAACCAGAGTAAGATCAAGTACAAGCACGATAAGAATTGTCAATATTCATATTCATATTTTTGTTCTTGTTACTATATCGCAACAGTAAATAATGTCTCGACAACACTGCTCAGACTCGAATAATGCCGCCACACACAGCTTAGCTAGCTGCTAGCTGCCAGCTCTTGTGACAAGAAGCCTTTGCTTCGGGGCTAATGCAAATGACGTCGTTGTACTGCCACAGAACGAGTGGTCCTGCTTCCTTCAAGGATGGGTCGTACTTCTCGTGGACGGCCAAGAAGAAGCAGTCCACATCCAGATGCAGGATCACTTTCTCCAGACTTTGTGGCTTTTTGCTCTCGATGAGGGCAGGGATACTCGGCTGCGCCTTCTCTAGGCCACCGATATGGATCCCAAACCCACGAACTTGTGCCGGTGTTGCGCCGGTGCTCTCGCAGAGCCTCCAGGCTTCTGCACATGCGGCCTCCACTGCAGGAACAAGGCCGGGATCCGTGGCGAACTGCGCGGAGCGCGAGAGGACGTCACAGCCCCCACTGCCGACGCCTCGACAACGGGGTTTGCATCAAGGGGGAGAAGAGGCTTTCACTTGAATCCGAAAGGGGGGCCCCAGCCTCCGCAGTGAGGGGCATCTGGCCGGGCTTTCCAGACCTTCACCGTGAGCGAGCTGCCCCTTCGCCCATGGCGCGACAGGCGGCGCAGCGCCTCTGTGGTCAGCTCCACAACGAAGCTTCGGAGAGCTTCGGTATCTTCGAAACGGACGCCCCAAGCGATCTGTGCGCCGACAGACTTCCGAGGTGGTCGCGGATCCCAAGGCCGGTCGTCGATGCCTCGAGAAAGTCGAAAAAGAGATTGCGCCTGCTTCTCGCCGAAGAGCTCCCGGAGCTTTGCCAAAGGAACATTTCGCAGGTCGCCCACTGTCTGCACTCCTTCCCGCAAGGCTATTGTTAAATCCCACCGACGGACCGAAACCCTAAAATGGCACCGCTGAACGCATCCCTTTCCATCCCTCTCCAGATTTCTGGAGCTGCTTCTCACTCTCCGGGCCCACGCCCGGCAGCTCCCTCGCCGGAAGCGTCGCCAGGCACTCCGAGCTCTCCTCTCGACTCCCTACACAGGCCCAGGCTATCCTAGGTTTCCTGAGCTCGGTTTCGGACATTACTTTGGATGCGGATCCGGGAGAGCAAGGCTTACCCTCCTCGAGTCGAAAGTCTTAAGGCTGAAGGAATCGTGACAGAAAGAAATCACTGCTGGCTCCTCGAGCAGGAAGATACCTCGCCAGGGACGGTTTGGGGGTTCAGAGTTTAATGCTTCACAGGCATAACTAGCTTGCCACTGCATTGGCCCTGGCCTGTGTGCTCATCGCAAAAGCGGAGCCCGGATTCCTCGCCAGCACTGTCCAGCGCGGCTTTTCCACACTTCTTGCATCCCGGTCGGGGCTTTGCAAACTTTGTCGCCAGCCTGGACCAAGATGCATCTGCTGGGCATCGAAAGAAGGAAAGGGCTGAAGCTTTGGGTTCCCCACTACTGGTAGGGTGCTGCAGGCGTCCACCCGACCCGCCTGGCAAGCAGCCGATTTTTGGCCACGCCAATCGAGGCAACGCATCCACTTCGACTCCTGGAGCCCGCCCGGATCCCCTCTTCGCTCTTCGGCTTCTTCCAAAGATTAAAAGTTGGTGCAACTGCGGAAAACTGTGGCAGCCCAGGCTCCAGATGTCAGCGCGGATCTTCCGCGCGAGAGCCTGCCATGAAAATGCGTCATCCTGCGCAAGGTGCGAGACGTCTGCGAAGACCTCGTCGCACGAGATGCCTGAACGCAGCATGGCTTTAGTTTCTAGGGCAGATGTAAGCACAACTACAGTTGAGAACCATTCTGAGTTTGGATTAGGGTTTCTCCGGCACCTTGCACGTAGGGAGTGGTGTCAAGCACAGTCCTGTAGAATAGCTCAGCAGTCTCCATGATGGAGTCGAACTCGTAGGGCATCACCACCAAGTCTGGGCACAACTGGAAGGCCTCTCCGGCCCACATCCCAGCACGAATACCTGAAGACATTCTGTCAGAGCTCAAGCAAGCAGAAAGCATCTCCAGACCCGAATCAGCTGCCTTCGCCACCCCAGTGTATCCATCAAACCAGCATCTGCCAACCCCCAAGTCAGTGTAATGGCCATGCGCAATGAAAACCAAAGCGGCCCGAGGCACCGAAAGCCCGAGCGCAGTAGTTGGCTGAGGAAATCTCGCTGCTGCTTCCGGTGCCCCACGCCACGGCTACGGGCAAACCTGACCATGAGCAGGTTGAGGAAATTCAGTGTACAAGAGGGCTCTGAAACTTCGGAGTTCTCTCGAGGGTTTTAAATCAGCCGCCTGCAAAGATCTGCGTCCGGCCACGGGTGGCAACACTGGCGAAGAAGCAGTCCATGTCGATATGTACAAAGACCTCACGGAAAATGCAACGCGGCTATGGCTAGCCTATGTTGCACGATCACAAAAGGATTGCTCTCCCAACAGCTCTAGCCCTTGCATACCAAATTAAAGGACCGGATAACCCCACATGTGAAGCTTGTCTATTGGTAGACAATCTAAAGACGCAAAAGAGTGAAAGAGTACGGGAGTAAATGGATGAATGAGTGAAAGAATGGGTGAGTGTTGTTGTGACCGCCTATGTGGATCTGAATGTTATGAGAGTGTATGATGTGTGTGTGTGTGTGTGTGTTCATGTGTGTGTGTGTGTTTGTGTGTGTGCGAAGGACAGGGATGTGCAGGAAATCGAATGGCATGCACCAATCCCGGCCGAAAGCCTGGTGTCGTGACTTGCCGGTGCTGTGTGCATGTGTGTGTGTGTGTGTTCATGTTTGTGTGTGTGTGTGTGTGTGTTCATGTGCGTGTGTGTGTGTGTGTGTGTGTCTGTGTGTGTGAATGTGTATGCGTGAATGTATGTGTGTATGTGTGTGACAGAGCTGAGGCTGCTTCTGCGATAGCGATGGCATGTCGTCGTAGGCTCCGAAGCACTCATGTCGCGTTTAGTTCCGTGTATGTGTGTGTGTGTGTGTGTGTGCATGTGTGTGTGTGTGTGTGCGTGTTTGTGTGTGTGTGCATGCATGTATGTATGTATGCATGCGCATGTGTGTGCATGTGTGTTCGTGTGGATGTGTGTGTGTGTGTGTGCAGGCGTGATCTGCCGCGCCGGAGTGCCCATGCCATCGCCATGACCTCAGCACAGTCCAATGCGGCAACTGCATGAAACAAGCAGCCGAGCTAATCACATGCACCGGTCCTTGTTCACAACCTCTCTTTGAGTCGGAGCATCTGGGCTGGTTTCCCAGTACGGGTCGCGCAGCACGCAGACTTTGCCCTCCAAAACAAGAAAGGGTTATCGTCGGTAACTTGCCAGAACTTTGGATCAGTCAGCTCTTGACGATCGCGTAGTTCTTGCTGATGGCGAACATCCGAAGGTGTCCTTTGCCGCGAAGCAGAAGCCGAGGTCGTGCTCGAGGCAATCTCAGCTTCGCGGGAGCCGGAACTTGCAGCAGCCGCACCGGAGCCAGAACTTGCATGGACGGTTGCACTAGAGCTGGAGCTGGCCGCGCTGCCGATCATGGCTTCGGCGTTGCACAGAGACAGATATGTTTTCTCGAGCCGCGAAACGCATCCAAGTGACACTCTGATACGCAGGCATTGTGATGCAAGGACATCCCGAAGGAATCAAGTCATCCTCGTGACGGGCGCAAAATATGCAATCCAAGTTTTCCATTCGTTGCGGCACAAGCACACCTCTACCGACGGTCATTGCAGCAATTCCCAATACGGGTCATGCGCACTGTTGGTGACGGTCCTTGCGGCGCTTCCCGGTACGGGTCACGCGCAATTTCCAATCCTCTCAATTACTGCTGTTTACAGCCTGGACTCGAAGGATACAACCTTCCCGGTTCGTTTTTGTCTGGACAAGTTTGCAAGTTGCGAGTGCTCGAGGGAGGAAGGCTCTCAGTCACGGCGCCACCCTCTGGACCATCTGGAGCCGGTGGAAAACGTTTCCGGTCCGCTTCCTTGTAGTTGTCGTGAGTGATCCTTGCTGATTCACATAGTTGGATGGCTTCAAAGATCTCTTTTCGGAATTTGTCTCTTTGTTCATCCGACATGACAAAGACCCAGTCGTCCGTCTCATTCTGGAAGTCTGCTTGCGCCCATTTGTTCTTTTTGTGATAGCCCGCATGCTGTGCCGCATGAAATTCAATGATGGGGTCATCCCATGACATTTTTTTTTTGGAACTCTTCAATGAGTCCCCGGCTGATGACGTCTTTTCCGGCTTCTTCGATGGTTCTCCGGCAGACGACGTTTCGCCCAGCGGCTCCCCGGCAGATGACGCCTTTTCCGGCTTCTTCGGTGGGTCTCCGGCAGACGACGCTTCGGCCGACAGCTCCGCAGACGACAGGCCAAGGAGAAGCTCGATGATTGCTCGCATGTCCATGTCGAAGTCAAGATGGGTATGTAAACTCAGAATTGGCCGTTTCCACAGCCGATCCACCTTCACACTCGTCGTGGTGTTGTTGCCAGACTTCAGCCTTATCGGCAGAACGTCTTGATCTGTCTCAGTAGCTCTACTGTTCGACTCGGTCTCAGGGAACGGCTTGCGCGAGGCTTTTGCTGTTTTGGATAGCATCTCCACGAGCGCGGCGATCTCCATTTTCAATTCGAAGTTAAAGCGCACGAAAAGGGTTGGCTGCCCCGTGCAAGAATCCAATGCCGCCGTGCAAGACGTGGCGGAGTTCTCGAAGACGAGACTGAACGGTTGCGACATAGTCCGACCCCACTGGCTGTGTACGGAGTCTTAGACTAGAAAGCACTGCGAAAGCGTGTCGATCCGTCTGCAGATACGTGTCCGCATACACTCGTGCTCCGTCACGCTGATTCTTCCTGAGAAACGAAACGGCTTTCTCCGAGAGTCCAGCGGCAGGCACCATGTCAGTTTGGGTATGGTAGGGGGATAGGGTCGGCTAGGCTTGGGTCGCACTCCTTGAACGCAAAACTGCACGAAGCACGAGCGGACCACAGCGAGCCATTTTGCTCAAAGTGCCATGCTGTGCGCGGACAGTGCGTGAGTTTCTCGGCTCCCCAATACGGGTCACCCAGCTCGTATGTGCAAGGGTTTCAGCTCAGCTTCTCGGCTGAAACCGATTTCCATCAGAGTGGCCAGCTTCCCAATACGGGTCACTGACGGATCAGCGGAGGTGTCGGCCGAAACATGAGCGAGGGTCCGCTGCGACCATCTCTAGTCCAAGTCAATGAGACCAAGCGAGGATGTCTTAAGCCTGCGCTCAAAGGTCCGCTTTCTGGATGTTCTCGTAGGCTTGCCCGGCACCGGGAGGTCAATCCCAAACTCGTCACGGAACAGAGCTCGAAGATGATGGTTGTGCAGTTCTGTTTCCAGAGTCAAAAGTTCTTCCTCCGTTTCTGGAGGAAGCGGCTCGTGATCCGATTCGGGATAAACCGTAGCCACAACCTGCGCAAAAGGAATACACAGCGGTTCCTGGTCGTCGCGGTTGGACACGTGCAAGTAGAGAAACGCTTCAAGGTTCCCAGCCTTCAAAATCGTCGCAGCAAAACCCACAACTGGATCTGGCGATTCGCAAAGTTCCACTCTGGCCGATGCTCTCTCAATCTCCCTTGACTGACGTCTTGACCAACTCCTTTGACTGACGTTCTCCGGACGCTCAACCTGGTAATCCTCCAGCACCTGCTCTATACAAAAGTCAGAGAGGGCCTGCTTCAAGCTTTCCAGACCAGCTTGCGATGCCATCGTGCCGAAGTAGTAGAACTCCAAGAGAAAGAGCCCACGATCCGAACTATGAGCGGCCGCCGAGAGGAGCACACACTTGGGCACTACCTACAGACACACACACACACAGAGACACAAACATACACATGCACACCCTTACGGGTGGCTAAACAGCAGCTCGCGGTTTGCTCCGAGTGAACGCATCTACTGCTGGTCAACTTCGTCCGTCAGAGCTATCCACACTAAGTCCTGCTGCATCACATGAACATGCAAAGCTCAGATCTTGCCCATGACTAGCGCGGCTTTCCAATCCGGATCGCACGCATTCGACACATGGAAGTTTACCGATGGCGCTTGGTAGAGCGCAAAAAGGTAGGTACCGGCGCTGCTCCGTCAGGCTTTCACTCATGATGTGGGTCCACGATGGACCTGGGCAGCCAGACCAATGCCCAGACCAGTGAAGCATCCAAATCCGAACATGAAAGCCCAACCCACGGAACAAAGGGTCCGGGTTTGGTGTGGAAGCGTGACAGGTCTAGACTAGAGGATGATGTCGGGTTTGTTCGCTATGCTGCATCACGGCTCAGGGGTCTGCATATTATGTAGAAGATTCACCGGTCTAGACGGTGCAACTTACAGCGACACCAAGGGTTCGGTGGGGACTCGCGTTCTGCTCGTCGGCTGTGGTCTATGAACATACATACACACCGAGGAAGAGGAGGAGGAGGACAACGCCTATCATAGCTTCAACACTTCGAGGGGGGAAGCAACTTACATTCATGGGATGGCTTTGGAATTAGGATAAAACCGGGTTTATTCACTAAAATACAACTTACCGCGACACCGAGGGTTCGGACGGGACTTACGTTCTGCTCGTCGGCTGTGCTCTATGAACATACATACAGACGGAGGAGGAGGAGGATAAGAACGATCATAATGGCTTCAACACTTAGGTCACAGTACGGAGTCATCAGCAGCTGGAAATCCTGGCTTGTAACCTCCGAGGGCTTCATGCTGACGAGAGTCGAGAAGGGACTCAGATGGAAGAACGAGTAAGCAGGCAAACGGCAGCCTAGGGGAAACCGCGTGCAATCTGCTTTCCGATGCGATTCCACTGCGGGTTAAGGTTCTTAGGGACCTAAACCCAACCGCGATGAGCGTGCGGCAGCATCTGTGCACCTGGGCCGCGCTAGGGCGAACACTAAAAACGCGTTTCCGACACCCCTTTAATTAAGATACACCACTAGTAGGGAGCAG